GAACCTTTCTCTTGTATTGGCTTCAAACAATTTAATCCTGAACATGGGTTGGATCGTCTCATCATACCAAACAAGGTGCATGACATGAAATCCTTCTTCTCTCTTTTTGGCCATTGGATAATGAGGAATTTTCACCCTCATGGTTGCTTTCACCTTAGCCGTAAGAGTAGCAAGCCCAATCTCAAAGTTGACCATGTCATAGCACCGAGCTAGGTGCATTTCTCGAAGACTTTTGATCATAAGGGATAGTAGGTGTAGGGCTTTCTTGCCCCAAATGAGCTTATCAGACCCCAAACCTCAATTGATTTGTCACATATGTTTCACCAACATGCCATGGGTCAGTAGAGGGCATACGATTCCCAAAGATGTAATGACCACAAAAAGGCATAGAAATAAAACAAAAGAAAATAAAGACAACTATTCACAATCTAGATGGAAACAAGTAAACTAGAAATCTTAAATCAATTCAATATGCCTAATTAATCTCCGGCAGCGGTGCCAGTTTTTATAACGCTCAAATGTCCTCTTTAAAACTAATTAAAAGGGACAGCGATCGTTGTTAGTAAAAATACACAACTAAGAGTTGGGTCGAATCCCACCGATAATAATTTGTTGGTGATTGAAAAGATAAAGGCTAACTAGATACTAGTTTGAATCTAAACATACAAGGCACAATAATATCAAATAGAAAGCAATTTTTCTAAATACACTTCTAACGAAGGTAAAGACGATATCAAGCAAGGGATGTATGGGAATTGGGAAAATTTGATATTCAATTGACACTCAACGATCCATTGCAGTTCAATCCAAAATCAATCACTAATAGGTAGGCTAAGTCATCGTAGGTCAATCCCAATCTCCTTTCGGTTTCAAAGGACTATTTCATGACATCTCCTTTCGGTCTCAATCATTTAATTCAACAAAACAACTCACTACCTTAACTTAGACTTCTCTTTCTAGAAAGCCTTTCACTCAACCATGAAACCCTAAACTTTATCCTAATTCAAGATTCAAAGCTAAAATGTGATTATCAATCTAATTATCCACTTCACAGATTATATTTTCAAGCAACCCATGAAGATCGAAGCTAGGATTCAGCATGCACACTCAACCCATAAATTCAAACATGAAAACTAGATTGAACCTATTTGATGAAATCAAACATGGAAATAAGAAATTACAAAATCAATAGAGAAATAAATTAAATACTCAAATAGCTTTGTCTATTTCTAGCACAAAAGCTCAAATTTTACACAAGTAATTACTGATGAAGATACAAGTCAACATATTAGTGAAAAGGGTTAATCTAGCCGCCACATATATAGGAGAGTCCTAACCATATTCTAACACAGAAGACTAAGGTAGCAATTGTTAGGACTCTAGGAGCTAGCAACTGTTAGGACTCTAGGGGATATGGTTGTGTATATATACGCTATTTTGTACAACGTAAGAGAATAAGAAAATCAGCCACATATTCTTATATTTTGTTTTCTTCAATACTTCTTCATGGTATCAAGAGCTTAGGCCTAACTAATTATTAACTAGAACACTAGATCCTGAAGCCTATCTCCCGTTAAAAAAAATTGATATGGCCGCATCCTCGAGCTGTAGTTTAGGTCTTTCACCCTCCTCGCTCCATCAACTCATCACCATCTGTCTTATTAAACTAAAACCATCGAATTACCTTGTTTAGAGGACACAAATCCTTCAACTCATGCAAACCTTGAAAGTTACATCCATAATCAAGGACGAATCCCCATCCGAGACTATCGAAAATGCACAAGGAGAACCATCCCCTAACCCTAAGTTTGTAGACTCGGAAGAACGTGATGTTCTGGTTAGAAGTTGGATCTCCGGTACAATGACAGAAGAGTCGATATTTCTCATTATAGGGTGCTCAATTGCAAAGCAAATATGGTCATGTCTTGAGGATACCTACCTACAAGCCAGTAAAGACAAGGAATTTCAGTTGAAACAACAACTTCAAACTGTGAAACTTGGAACAAAATCCATAGATGAATATATCAAGGAATTTAAAGGGATTTGTGATAGTCTCGTGGCTATACACAAACCAATGGATGAAGACAGCAAAGTAATTAACTTTGCTAGAGGCCTTGGAAACAAATACAAGACCTTTCGCAGTTGTGATGTTAGGGAAACCACCATACCCTACCTTCAATCAATTTGTGACTGCCCTTAGAGGATTCGAAATGAGGGAAGAAGCAGATGACATTCAACAAACTCATATTGAGTCAGCAGTGGCCTTTGCTGCTCAAAAATCACAAGGTCGAGGTCGTGGAAATTACTATCGAGGTAGGGGAAACCAACGAGGAAGAGGAAATAGAGGATTCAACAACAACCAGCGGCCGTTCGATGCTCCTCAAGATGGAGGTGGAGCTAATCAAACAAGAGATAATTCAAAAGTAAATGCTTGCTAGATTTGTGGAAGAAATAACCATACTGCGCTTTCTTGTTTTTATAGGTGGGATTATTCCTATCAAGCACAACAAGAAGTCCCAAAGGCACTTGCAACAATGAGTTTTAACGATCAATCTAATAATAATTTGTACATGGACTCAGGAGCTACCAATCATATGGTACAAACTGCAGGTATACTTAAAAACTCGTCTCCCTTTAGAGGATCTGACTCTGTTATGGTAGGAAATGGCCATAAACTCAAAATTACACACATAGGAGACACAAGTGTTGGAAGAGACTTGCGTCTTAAAAATGTGCTTGTTGTGCCTAATCTCAAGAAAAATCTTGTTTCCGTTAGTAAGCTTATAACAGACAATGCTTGTTCCTTGACATTTACTGATGGTGGTTTTCTTGTTAAGGACAAGAGAAAAGGAACAATCCTGGCAAAGGGGAATAAGCAAGATGATTTATATACATTGGACAGCGGCATACATGAGGCTTTAACAACTACAGCGACAAACAAGAATTCAAATTCAATTTGGCACCAAAGATTAGGACACCCCCACCCTCGAACTCTTAAATTATTGCATAGCAATAGTTTGATTGATGTTAGTAGTTGGAATAAAATTCCCTCCATATGCACTAGTTGTCAAATGGGGAAGAGTTGTAAATTACCTTTCCAAGCATCAAATAAAAGAGAGTCTGAACTTTTAGCAAAAATACATAGTGATCTATGGGGACCAGCCCCTGTTGCATCTTCTCAAGGAATTCGATACTATGTCATTTTTGTTGATGATTGTACCAGGTTCACTTGGATTTATCCATTAAAGAAGAAATCTGATTTTTTTGCTCACTTGGTGATTTTTCACAAATTGGTAGAAAATCAATTTTCTAAGAAACTTAAGACTTTTCAATGTGATGGTGGGGGAGAATTTAACAGTCTTGCATTTACTAGTTACTTGGGTCAACATGGTATACAAAGGCACATTTCATGTCCACATACTCCCGAACAAAATGGTGTTGCAGAACGAAAACATAGACATATTGTTGAAACAGGCTTGACTTTGATTTTTAATGCTAATTTGCCTATATTTCTTTGGGTTGAAGCTTGTATGACTGCAGTGTTCTTGATTAATCGAATGCCTACATCCACTTTTAAAATGGCGCCTCCCTTCACAAAGTTGTTTGGTCAAGAACCTCACTACAATACATTGAAAGTTTTTGGTTGCAGATGTTTTCCCTACCTGAAAGGTTACAACAAAGATAAATTTCAGCCAAAAACTTTTCCTTGTAATTTTATAAGTTACAGTCTTCTTCCTAAAGGTTACAGATGCTATCACCCTGAATCTAGGCGTGTTTATATTTCTAGGCACGTCATCTTTGATGAGTCTACTTTACCATATTCTGGCTCTAGTCCTAATGTACATGCAGATTTATCACAATTCTTCACATACACGGAGGTTGATACACCACAAACAGAACAAACATAAGGTAATCACACCTTCGATGACGAATCTGCCGTTCCTATCATGCCTATTGCTGCTGCACCACACCTGCATATTGGATCCCCTCAAAACAGCCCACAACCAGTGCTTGAAGCTCATCCGAATATCCAACAACCACCTGCAGTTCCAACAGCTCCTTCCGCACATACAAATTGTACTTTTGAACCACCAAGTCCTCAATCAGACATACATGACTCTCCATCATCACCAATAATTGATCCTGCTCAACTATCACACTCTCCATCTCAAACCATACAAGCTGTCCCATACTGTCCATTTACCTTTTCTCGCCCACCTAGCCCTTCGAACTCTCACAAAATGCTTACTAGAGCTAAGACAAATAGCATACCCAACCCCACCTTTCACTCACTATCCACGACTGTTTCTATCACCTCTGACACAAAGGAACCCCGCACCATCAAAGAAGCTCTATCCAAAGAACATTGGGTTTCAGCAATGTACGAAGAACTTCATGCTCTTCACTCTAATGACACTTGGCAGCTAGTTCCACGTCAGTCCATTATGAATATAGTTGGCTCTCGATGGGTTTTTAAAACCAAATTAAAGGCAGATGGTTTAGTGGAAAGGTTCAAGGCTCGGCTCGTCGCCAAAGGTTATAATCGAATTGAGGGAGTTGATTTTGACGAAACCTTCAGTCCAGTGGTAAAAGTGACCACCATACGTATAGTCCTTGCTATTGCTACAACATTACACTGGTCAATTAAGCAACTTGATGTGAAGAATGCATTTTTACATGGTGATCTCACAGAAACAGTCTTCATGGAACAACCTTTCGGGTTTCATTGATCCTATTTTTCCGTCTCATGTGTGCAGGTTAAAGAAGGCTTTGTATGGGTTAAAACAGGCTCCAAAATCATGGTTTTACAAATTTAGTACCCATCTTCTACACCTGGGATTCCATTGCAGCCCGTCTGACTCCTCTCTCTTCATTTGGAGGTCTTCTCAAGCACCATTTTGCTCCTTCTTTATGTCGATGACATAGTTCTTACAGGAAGCTGCATCTCCCTTCTAAAGGCTTTGGTATCTAATCTAAACTCTAAGTTTTCTATGAAAGATATGGGTGATCTCCACTTCTTCCTTGGAATTGAAGTTATACGCTGCCCGAATGGTTTATTCCTTAGCCAACACAAGTATGCGATGGATATATTAGAACGCACAAAGATGACTTGTTCCCGTTATATTCATACTCCTCTTGCTACAAAACATGAGCTTCATGATACCGGAGGTCCTCCTGTTGATGCCTCTGAGTTCCGAAGTACAGTTGGTTCCCTGCAATACTTAACTCTTATTCGCCCTGAACTTGCCCATGCAGTTAATCTCCTCTGCCAGTTTATGCAACACCCTTGTGCCACTCATTGGACTGGTGTCAAGCGAGTACTCCGCTACTTAGCAGGAGCTACACAGCTTGGCCTTCGCATCACTGCAAAATCCTCTCTCAATCTAGTCGGTTTTTTCGATGCAGATTGGGGTGGTTGTCCTATCACGCGAAGATCAACGACAGGTTTGTGTGCATTTCTAGGTTCTAATTGCGTCTCGTGGGCTTCTAAGAAACAAACAACTGTGGCAAAATCTAGCGCTGAAGCAGAATATAGGTTATTGGCCTCTTTGGCTGCGGAGCTAAGATGGATCACATATATACTTAGCGACATTGGCAATTCCTTACTCAGTCCTCCTCTTCTTTACACTGATAATATTTTCGCAATGCACTTGACCAAGAATCATGTTCTCCACGCTTGTACAAAACACATTGAGCTTGATTACCACTTCGTGAGGGAAAAGGTTGCCCAAGGTGCCATGGTCACAAAGTTTGTTCCTTCACAGCTCCAAGTCGCCGATGTGTTCACCGAACCACTGACAAAGGCTCTTTTTTTATTCTTTTGGACCAAGCTTGGCGTTGTGCAATTACCCACCTCCAGCTTGCGGGGGATGATGAAGATACAAGTTAACATATTAGTGACAAGGGTTAATCTAGCCGCCACATATATAGGAGAGTCCTAACCATATTCTAACACAGAAGACTAAGCTAGCAATTGTTAGGACTCTAGGAGCTAGCAACTGTTAGGACTCTAGGGGCTATGGTTGTGTATATATACATTATTCTGTACAACGTAAGAGAATAAGAAAATCAGCCACATATTCTTATATTTTGTTTTCTTCAATAATTCTTCAATTAAACCCATATTTCTAGTAATTAAGAATAAGGAAATGAAGAAAGGTAAAAGAGATTTACTAAAATAGAACACAATCTCCAAATCCACAAATGAAATATGAGGCAACTTGCCTTCAATGCCTCAACCCCAAGATCAAGAACAATAGAAAATCTATTGTTTGATGAGTTTTTCTCTCTACAATATTCCCTCTCTAAAAATTCTTTGATGATGAATAATGTTCCACCCTAGCTTTATTTTCCAAATTTTGGGTCCAATGATTGAGAATTTCTCATTCTGCCCCTATCTAAAGAGGCGGGATTCACAAAAGTGGCAGGAGGCTCGCAAAAGCGAACATAAGTTCGCTTAAGCGACCTCTACCTTTTTGGACCAGTTCACAGAAGCGAACACCGCCTGGTCGCTTATGCGGCCGATTGACTTTTTTGACTAGTTTGCTTAAGCGAACAGTCTTCCATAGGTGTGAGATCTGAAGCTTGTTTTCTGCCACATTTTGCTTCTTTTAAGCTTTTGTGCATCATTTTCCATCCTGGCAACAAACACTTGAAATTAACACAATTCAAAGAATAGTTAGCCTCTTCTACTTTGAGTCTCACAAAATCATAAGAAAATAGACTCTAATGAGTGCAAATTCACCACTCATCAGTTTTGAAGAAAGAAAAAAAATCATCTTCCATTCTCTGTTATCACTATACACAAGAACCTTCTAAGGATTTTGAGTGCTTAGCAATTTTGTACTTGAATTTGGTAGTTTTTTTCTTTGAGCATTTTGGTATTTGAGGTTTGGATCAACCACTTCAAATGAAAAACAATCTTTTTAGTATAACTTTCTTTAATTTCCATACGTGTAGCTAAAACCTATGTTCTAAAAGTGTGCAAATGAAGTTAGATTTTGATTAGAATATTGGATGTTTGTAGATTTCTCTATTTCATATTAATTCAAATGGGTTCAGTCTTTATCATGTTTTGATTAATGATTTGAGGTTGCAAACCCAAATCTGGAGTATATCTTCATGTTGCTTGAAAAGGATTACATGAAGTAGATGATTGGATTGATAATTGCATATTGGCTTTAAATTCTAAGTTTGCTTGAAAAAAAAATTAAGATTTCATTGCCGAATGCTAGATTTGCTTGAAAAAGAAGGTCTATATTAAGGTTATAAATTATTTTGTGTAGCTTGCATTTGAGACTTGAAAAGGCTCTTGTGACAAACAACGTTTTATTGAAAAATTCATACTGTGATTTAGATTGATCTAGCAACCTATTGAGAATTAATGTTAATGAGCAATTACGTTTACTCATACTTGAAATTGATACCCAAGTGTGAACACTCCTAGATATCTCCTATTTGCTAATTATTCTTTTTCACTCACTATTGTTAATCAATTGTCAACTAAACTCTCTCAAATTGATAATTTGCAATCTCTAAAATTTATTTTATGTTAAGTGTTGATTTCATAAACCTACAAGAGATTAGCTCACAAATTTGACATCCTAATTGAATTCTAACATAGACCGCTCCATGTGGGATTCGATCCCAACCTTGTTTAAGTTCTTTATGATCGACGATCGCTTGTACATTAATTTGTAAGATTTATAATTGAGCATTAGCAAAGACAATAATGATATCCAACGACTTCTACTCATCTTTCCTTATGGTGGGAGTTGTGTCTTATTTATTTTATAAGTTGTACTCTTAGAAGCTCTTGTACCTGTTTAGACTAGTTCCTTGGAGGTGTTAGTATATTTCCTTCTAAAACAACTTTGTAGGTTTAACTCAATTTATGGTTATTTCTTAAACATTAAGGGGTCATTTGGTAGAAAACAAATAATGTAGGGATTAGTAACACAGAGATTAGTAAAGCAGGGATTAGTGGTGTTGTTAGTAATGCAGGGTATATTTTTTTATCAATTTTGTTGAAGGAAGCCTGAAGACTTATGCAACATGTTGAAGGAACAGGTCCATTGAAGCAAGCTGACAAATTAGAATTAGAGTCATACTAGGACTAGACTACTAAATCCTAAATTATGTACGACTAAGCTACTGGATCTGTAGGAGGTTAAAGTCTACTAGGATATCATGTATATAATATATTTGTGTTGTAGTAGGATTCCTAGTATAGCTAGAATAGGAATCTTCTCCTATATAAAGAGCTTGTAACTCAACATTATTTTTTATCAATACAATCCTTGATTTCTCCATACTTACGTGAGATTTCTACATGGTATCAGAGCTCTAAAGCTTTTTCGCTCTTTAACATATTAGATCAAAGCCAAAACAACCACAATATCGAAACACAATGGCCCTTCTACCAACACTCTTTTGACCTCTTCACTTCATCATCTTATTTCGTCTTGCTCCATTAAACTTAAGCCAACGAACTATCTTATATGGAGGACACAAATGTCTCAGTTGATTCAAGTGATGAGATTAACCTACCTCATCACAGAACCACCTAAAGGTACATGTTCCACTAAACAGACTACTGAGAAAGTTGTAGCACTCGAGAAGGGTGTAGAAGACAATAATATTGTTGATGATTGGGAGGAGAAGGATGTGTTGCTAAGGAGTTGAATCTCAGGCACCTTGACAGAAGAAAGCATGTACCTGATCGTAGGCTGCTCAACTACCAAGGAGATGTGGGAATGATTGGAAGAAGGTTATCTTCAACCAACAAAAGATAAGGAGCTCCAGCTCAAACAACAACTGCAAAGTCTGAAGCTAGGAACCAAAACAATTGACGAATATATTAAGGAATTCAAAGGCATATGTGATGGCCTTGCAGCCATTCACAAGCCTGTAGATGAAGATAGCAAAGTGATTAATTTTGCTAGAGGTCTAGGTCTTAAGTACAAGACCTTAAGGACTGTCATGCTAGGTAAGGCACCATATCCTACTTTTAATCAATTTGTTAATGCTCTCAAGGGTTTTGATATGAGGGAGGATGAAGAAGAAGTGCCCCAACAAAACCATAACGTGGTATTCTCTGCCCAAAAGGGGCAGGGGAAGAGAAAACTACTCTCAAAGAAGAGGAAACAATAACTTCAATTCTAGAGGAAGAGGCTTCAAGCCTGCTGGACAAAGAGCAGGTTCTTATAACAGCAGAAACGGACCAGGTCCTCAGAACAGTCCTTCGAGTGGAAGTCATGAGGGAAACAATACTGATGTGTGTCAAATTTGTGGTAGGAATAACCATACTGCTCTTAAGTGTTTTTACAGGTGGTATTACTCTTACCAAGCCACATATGAGCTATCACAAGCATTGGCTGCTACTAATCTACAAAACACTACTGATGACATCTTGTATGTGGACTCAGGAGTAAGTAGCCTTATGACATATAACTCAGGTATCCTAACTGATATTAAACACTACACTGGACCAAATAAAATCATTATTGGGAATGGATCAAAGTTAGACATAACACATGTTGGGAACATATCTGAATCAAGTCTAAAGTTAAAAGAAGTTCTTGTAGTTCCTAAGATTAATAAAAATTTACTCTCAGTTAGTAAGCTTGCAAAGGATAATTGTTGCACTCTTGAATTTGATGAAACTAACTTTGTTGTAAAGAACAAGAGGACAAGGACTGTTGGCCAAGGGATCTAAAAGGAATGGACTCTATGCTTTGGAAGATAACAATCTCTATGCTTTAACTGTTGCACATGATTGGAACACGTCAGACAACATGTGGCATACTAGATTAGGACACCCTAGTTTGAAGTCTTTAAAAGTTTTGAGTAGTAATAGTTGCATCAATATTAGTAGTTGGAATAAAATGCCTACTGTTTGTTCTAGTTGTCAATTGGGAAAGAGTTATAAACTTCCATTTTGTTTTAGAAATAAAATTGAGAAAAAACCTTTATTGAAACTCCATTGTGACTTATGGACCTGCTCCTGTCGAATCTTCCCAACATATGAAATATTATGTCATTTTTGTTGATGATCACACGAGATATACATGGATTTATCCACTGAAAAAGAAATCTGAATTCTTTGAGGTCTTTCTAAAATTCTAGAAAATGGTGGAAAAATAATTTTCTAATGAGATTAAGATCTTTCAGTGTGATGGAGGTGGTGAGTTTATCCAAACAGACTTCATCAAGCATTTGGAAGATTGTGGCATTTTGAGACATATTTCATGTCATAACACACCTGAACAAAATGTAGTTGCAGAGAGAAAACATAAGATATTGTAGAGATTGACTTAACTCTACTACTTCATGCTAACCTACCTTTGTTTCTATGGGTTGAGGCTTTCCTCACTGCAGTATTCCTCATCAATAGATTGCCTTCCTCAGTCCTAAAGATGGTGACTCCATTTGTTAAGTTGTATGGGGAACAACCTGATTACAACAACCTAAAAGTGTTTGGGTGTAGATGTTTTCCATTTATCAAGGGTAGCAACAAGTTCAGTCCAAAGACTTACCCTTGTATGTTCATAAGGTACAACAGCCTACACAAAGGATATAGATGCTATCATCCCTCTACAAGGAGGGTTTACATATCCAGACATATTGTGTTTGATGAAAACACATTACTCTATGTGTCTCTAAAGCAATCACAGACTAACATTGATGTATGACCTCACCTTGATACCTTTGTTGAATCTTTCTCTAAACTGCAGGCACATGATAATTCTGATTCAGGGGAAGTACAAGTTTCTAGTCCACACGTTAATGGTGATAATGTTGCTACAACTCATATACTCTTTGATGATGAGAGTACTATTGACCTCTCAGGCGCAAGATCAAATGTTGAGGAATAGGTTGAAAGTGATGATCCATACTGTAGTGTTGAAACTCCAGCTGTAGATTTTGGATCTTCTAGTGG